TCGAGGCCCGAAACGTCAGCCTCTCTGCTCCTATGATGCTGCTTGGCCTGCTGTGTTCATCCACCCCTGCACCTTGTTGTCTCAAGTGGAACAGGTGTTGAGGGTGCCCAGGGCAAAGACAAAGGGACTGGTAATGGAATAGGTGGAGCTGTAGCATAGATGTGAATGGAAGGTTTGAACAGGAGGACGTTGCTCAGCCCTGCTGAGAGTGAAGCCAACAAGACGTGAGGATAGGGTATGAAAATGGAGGACAGTGTTTATGCTCTGGAGGTGTTGAACCGAAAGTGGAAACTGACACACTGTTCCTCCATCTTATGTTGAGCTTTGCTGAAACACTGCTGCAGGCCAAGGACAGAAAGGTTGGCATGGGAACAAATTGCTTCATTCAAGTGGCAAGTCACTGGAAGGTTGAGGTCATTCTTACAGACAGAACAGAGGTTTTCTGCAGAGCTCTCATCCTTTTGCATTTGGGCTCTCCAACATAAAAGACACTGCATGGTGAGCAGTGAATTACAGTAGGTTAGGTGGAAAGAAGTACGTGGAAACTGTTGCATCACCTGGAACATTTGGAACCTTGGACAGTGAGGAGGGAGGAGATACAAGAGTCATGGAGCCATACAGCATAAAAACAGGGCCTTGGGCCAACCATGTCTATTCTGACCAACAAACACCAACCTGTACTAATCCCATTTACCTGCACTTGATCCACAGCCTACTGTGCCCTGGCATTTTAAGTACTCCTCCAGAAGCTTCTTAAATGTTGTGCGAGTACTTGGCTCCACCTCCCTCTCAGACAGCACATTCGGTACCTCTACCACCCTCAAGGTGAAAAATGTTTCCTCAGATTTCCTCTAAACCATTTGCTCCTCACCTTAAACTTATGGCCTCTGGTCTTAGACATGTCTGCCATTGGGAAGAGATTCTCACAATTTAGTCTGTCTATGTCTTTCATGATTTTGTATAACTCAGTCAGATTCCCCCCTCAGAATCCTCTGCTCCAAAGAAAACAAACCCAGCCTATCCAGCCTCTCCTCTTAACTGAGACTTTTCATCCCAGGCAACATCCTGCCGTATGTCCTCTGCACCCTGTCCAATGCAATCACGCCCTTCCAATAGTGCGATGACCAGAACTGCACGCAGTGTTCCAAGTATGGCCTAACCAGTGCTTTATAAAATTGCCACAAGACTTCCTTGCTCCTGCCTAATGAAGGTAATCATCCCGTTTTCCTTCTTCACTGTCCCGTGTACCTGTGCTGACACCTTCAGGGAGCTATGGACTTTTGCACCAAGATCCCCTTGTTCCTCAGTACTCCCGAGGGACCAACCATTCATTGTATATATCCTTCCCTTATTAGACCTCCCAAAATGCATCACCCCGCACTTATCAGAATTAAATTCCATCTGCCATTTCTCTGCCCAATTTACTGGCTGATCAATATCAGACTGTAGCTTGAGATCATCCTCCTCAATATCAACAACACCAATTTTTGTGTCATGTGCAAATGTACTAATTATACCTTCTACCTTCACATCAGAGTCATTAATGTAAATAACAAACATCGAGACTCCCAGTATCGATCCCTGAGGTAAACCGCAGGTCACAAGCTTCCAATTAAAAAAAAATTCTCCACCATCATCTTTCACCTCCTATTTGAAAGCCAGTTTTGGATCCAGTTTGCCAACTTGTCTTCAGTCCCATGGACTTTTACCTTTTGGACCAGCCTTCCATGTGGGACCTTATCAAAGGTCTTAGGTGAAGTCATGTAAACCACTTCAACTGCATTAACCTCATCAATATATTTTGCCAAAAAAAACTCAATTAAATTAAGCAGACAGGATCTCCATCTAACAAATCTGTGCTGACTATCACTGATCAATCCCTGCCTTTCCAAGTATTGATTAATCCTGTCCTTCAAACTTTTTCCAAAAAGTTCCCTTCCACTGACATCAGACTGACTGGTCTGTAATTATTTGGCCTATCCCTGTAGCCATTCTTGAACAAAGGAATCACATTAGCTATCCTGCAGTCATTTGGCACTTCACCTGTGGCCAGGAAGTAATAAATATCTCTGCCAGGACCCAGCAATCTCCTTCCTAGCCTTCCACAGCAGCCTGGGATACATCTCATTATGTCTTGGGGATTTATGTCTGCTAAAACAGCTAATACCTTCTTCTCATTACTCTCAATGTGTTCTGGAACCTCACCATCCCAAGTGAAATCTCTGGCAACAATGTCTTTCTCCTCTGTGAATACAGATGAAAAATATTCATTTAACCCCACCCACATCCACTGGTCGCCCGTTTGGTCTCTAGAAGGTCTGACTCTTTCCCTGCTAATCCTCTTCTGTGATTGCATGGGAAGGCACTATGGGAGGGTAAGGGAGTATGAGGAGTGATGGAGGAGTGGACCAGGATGTCACAGCAGAAGTAGTTCCTGCAGAATTCTGACAATAGAGAGAAGGGGAAGGGGAGGATATGTTTTGTGCTGGCATCCTGCTGAAAGTGATGGAAATAGCAGATGATAGTCATTTGAATGTGGACACTGGTTGCTAGAAAGTGAGGACAAGGGAACTCTATTATTGTTCTTGGATGAGGGAAGATGTGTGAGAAAATACAGTGACATGATGTCAAACCAATTAGGATTTTGATGAAGAGTTTATATTTAAAATGTTTCTCAATGCAAACACTGAGGGACTTGGACCATTTTGTTGCATTTTCCAACCTAAAATTAGTGTCCCACTAAACAGAGTAGCTAAATTATTTAGAGTCTTAATTGCATCATTACAGTACCAGCAATGTTAAAAAGGATAATTGGCCAATAAAACAATCCTTTTCGAAAATAAACAGTTGAGGAATATAATCAGATTTCAATCATGCTTTATGTAGACTACCAGATTAAGGCATTGTTAAACATTTTTTTCTTTTGAGGCAATTTTACTATCTTTTAAATTTTGTCAATTTCTAACACATCGTGATATTAAATTATCCAATTAGTTCTGATCAACAGGTACTATGAGGGTTCTCCATAAGCAGGGAAGTGGCTGAAATTTACAAAAAAACTGTTAGGTATCAATCTCAGGGAGTTCCACACACTGTTTCTCTCTGAGCTCTAGCCTGTTTTGTCACACAGTACTCAGCAGCTCACCTCATTATTGTGTACCTTGCCCTTATGGTGCTGCTTGCACTATCTCATACAGGCAGAATTACATGCCGCTGCCAGACCCTCTCAGTATCCGTAGCATTGTCGCCATATTGAAATTGTAGCCGTGGACCAGGTCAAGCGCTGTCAGTGCAGAGCTGCTCTTCACAGTTCCTCTGTGTAAAGAGTTGCTCCAGAGATGGCTGAGAAAGGGAAGTTGATCTACCACTTTGCCACAGAGTCCCGGAGGACCAATGGGTGTAGTAGTGGATAGAAGAGCTGTCCTCTTTCCTCAGGACCCCCAGAGGAGACCACAGCACCAGACCCTGCCAAAATGGCCAGAAGTTGCCAGCTGGGTCATTGCAATGTCCACAATATGGAGGAATGTCCAGCAGTGCAGAAAGAGGGTTATTTCAGAACTCAGAACAAAGATATATTCCATTACAAGAAGGACCTTTGATAATAATGGACCACATGTCTAACTAAAGGAGTTAAGGATTATATCAAATTCAAAGAAAGGATGCACAATTTTTGGAGAAATTATTGGGAGGCCAGAAGATTGGGAACATTATGGAAAGCAACAATGGTGACTAAAAATATAATAAAAAGATAGAAATTTGATACAATAGTAAACTAGCATGAAAAAAAAAACAGAGAGTAAAAGCTCCTACCAGAGCTACTCTTGGCATGTGAAACATGGTCAAGGAAACATCTGCTAATTACAATCTACCATACTCCTTTCCTCCTCAGCTGACAAATCAATTCTTCTCCAATTGGATGAAGCAGTGCAGGTGGCAAGGGTACGGATTGTGCTCTGGATGGGAAAGCATCACTACTGACCAAACTGCCTGAGTCTTAAAAGACATTGCGGTTAGACTGCATCTACAGCAGATGGTGAG